GGCGGTTGTCACCCTCTATGCAGCATTGGACACTTATATGCAGAGCCCTGGGCAAATTAGTTGCTAAATGCAACATCCCTATTAAAACAAGGTATATTACTGAATAGCAAATACTTACTGATAAATAATACGGCTATAGCACTCACACTGTGCTTTTTCCTACTCTCTAGCCTAAGAAACAAAACCAACCCAACCAAACAATTTGCATTCTAGTGTACACTGGGATTACAAAGTGATAGCTGTGATCTGGAATCAGATCATATTCTGACCCAAAACAGGTTTGCAGGGGTGGGGTGCGGGGAAGCATGCCATTTTCTTGTATTGAAGTAAACATACACTTTGCATATTTAATAGAAGGAAAATATGAAAGAGAGAAATAGAAGATCGACAGAAACAGAACATCATTAACGACGTGATACAAATTACAAGTAGATCCCATTGCTGCAGATGGAGTGTTAAAGTGGGTCTCAAAGCTGAAATTGGCAGAGATCTGGAAAAAACTATTGTTATCACAGCAGTGCTACTACTACAGATCTGATCTGTAGGACACTTGTTTTGAAAAAGCAGCCAGGAGTTGTACAGGAAATATTTAATATGGCTTCTCAGTCTTTTAAACATTTGCCATATGGTACCCCAATACTCAATTTACTATCTCTACTGAAAATGAAACATTACATTCAAATGGGTCACTTTCGATCAACATGAATATTAAAATGTTATTACTGGAACCATTTAAATGGCAGCCAGCCATGAGCACACTCAGATCATTCTGCAGCTCTGCAACTGACACATTCAAGTTGTTTTTTTAAATTATGTATGTGTAACTGCAGCCACGCAGCTATAATGAACCGCATTTTGATTTCTTGCTCACCGTTTATAGAAAGTGGGAAAAACAAAGTGCGCTGCATTCTTTTTTTTCAGATTTTTACAACATATTCGAGTTTACATATGGTGGAGATAGCAATGATTGACATTTATAGCCATCTCACTTTAAATTTGGTTTTATTTACTGAAATTTCAAAGCGTATTTTCAAATGAACTATGGAAAATGTGTGCCACTCTGTCAGTTGTTTACTATCTTGCAGATAATCACCACTGCCACTATACTAAATCAGCATGCATAAGGAGATTTATTTTAGCGTCATGACTAGGACTTAGATTAAAGCATGCTAACGCTTAGTTCCGCTGGAGACATTATCTACCTTTCAAAAGGCAAAGCAGCTCTCAACCTTTTATCTTCCCTGTTAGGCTGCTACAATTCCACTGAAACCATTATATCTCTACAAATAGTCTCCCAATTTCCTTTCAGCACTACGGCAATACAAAACGATGTTGAGAACAGTAAAGGATTTGTGATACAGTGCAAAGAGGATAGGATTCTTGAATCTGCCCACTTGTAATAAGCAGCGTGCCTTCAGCTAGAAAACATAAACATTAAACAGGAACACTCACAATAAGATCTAAGAGAAATCAAGCTGAGTATACATGTGTGCTCGTTTTAAGTCTCACATTATTCACACATATTTTATGTTAAAATAGGTTTTTAATATGAATGATATTGTGCTGCATACATGGAAAAAGGGTGGGATTGAAAAGAGAGAAATTCTACTTGGCTCAACTGAAGAAACGTTTAGCATGTAAACAACAAACCACAGCCAATGTTTCCTAAGCTAAGGCAAAGCAGAAGTGATGCCATGGTTTCTCACCACCCATAACTACAACTGGATCATATTCCTTTGCATTAAATAACCCAGAACTAAACATTATTAAGGCACAATCTTTTACATGGATTAGAATATTAACCATGCATTAAAACATACAAAGAAAGCCATATTTCAAAACACTATTTTAAAATTCTGATTACAACGGTTAAGTATCCTGATCGTGAGTCAGTTACAACAAAATAACAAAAATGAGTGTGAAAACCAGATTTTCCCCTCTTGTCAATATAAGTTTCCAATGCCTATTTCTTCCAGCCTTGGAAAGGATTCTTGTCAGCTGAGTGTCAAGGGTGACTTTCCTAAGGGATTTACTGTATGGAGATTCTCCATCCCTTTCCTCTTGAATAAACTATGGAGGAAAGAGAGAGGGTCCCCCATCCCACATACAAGCCATTTAAACAGTGCTTGTCAAAAGGTATCAAAAAACACAAATTCAAAGCATCTGACTCAAAGCTTGATGTCTGAAAGGGTGTGTTAGCTGTTGCAAGCCAACAAGGGAAGGAGAAAACACAACCCTGTTAAAACTGCAGACAAAGGGTGTGGAATGGATGAACATACACAATTTTTGTAGAAAGTATTTAAACATATGGTGTAAATAACCATCAGACTGTGTTTAGACCTGAATCCCAACTCTAAACTTATGTTTGTAGCTGAAAATACAGATTGTCCTAAATCTGAAATCCAAAACACTTTTAGTCTCAAGCTTTTCAGAGGAGGAGACTCAATGTATACCTGAAAATTTGGGGCGGGGGCTGGGGAGAGAGGCAGGTTTTTAAGTTTGCTGTGAAAAGGGCATTGGATTGAGGGGATGGATGGGGTATGCTTCCAGCTAGAGAGAAATCTATGAGCTCCCTTCCAATTTGGGAATCAATCTTTATGCAGAGGACCCCCTCCTTATCCTTATCTATCTATCTATCTAGCTAGCTAGCTATCTATCCATCCATCCATCCATCTACACACACACACACACACAGATCCCAGAGGATCCCCCCCCCCCCGATCAATCCCAGTTTGGCACCCAAGCTTTATGCTTTATGCAGAGGACCCTTCCCAATCAATATGTGTGTGTGTGGGTGTGTTTATCTTCCTGAAAGAATACAGTATGTGTGAGTGAGTGTGTGTGTGTGCAGAGAGAAATAGAAAAAAGATCCCAAAGGACCCCACCCTTGCATCTATCCATCCATCCATCCCAGTTTGGAAGAGGACCCCCCCACATCAATATATTGTATGTATGTGTGTGTGAAGGAATACAGTAGATAGGACCCCCTATCTATCTATCTATCTATCTATCTATCTATCTATCTATCTATCTATCTATCTATCTATCTAACTATCTATCTAGGGCAGCATTTATACACTGGACCCTCTCCATATCAATACTTATGTAGGTATACTATCTGAAGGAATACAGTATAGATAGATAGATCCCGGAGGAACACCAATATCTGTCTATCTGTCTATCTATCTGAAGGAAGACAGGATAGATAGATAGATAGATAGATAGATAGATAGATAGATAGATAGATAGATCGATCCCCGAGGACTCCCAATATCTATCTATGCCTCTATGTCAGGGGTAGGGAACCTTTGGCCCTCCAGCTGTGGTGGACTTCAACTCCCACAATTCCTTGAGGCTCGGCTTTGGGCCAAGGTAAGCCTTTGGGGCGAATGCCGAGCCTCAAGGAATTGTGGGAGTTGAAGTCCACCACAGCTGGAGGGCCAAAGGTTCCCTACCCCTGCTCTATGTGAAGGAATTCTGTATAGATAGATAGATCCCAGAGGAACACCAATAGCTGTCTATCTGTCTATCTATCTGAAGGAAGACAGGATAGATAGATAGATCCCCGAGGACTCCCAATATCTATTTATGCCTCTATCTGAAGGAATACAGGATAGATTAGATAGATAGATAGATCCCAGAGGACCCCCAATATCTATGTATGCATGCATGTATGTATGTATGTATGTATGTATGTATGTATGTATTTATGTATCCGAAGGAAGACAGGATAGGTAGATAGATCCCAGAGGACCCCCAATAGCCATGTATGTATGTATGTATGTATGTATGTATGTATGTATGTATCTGAAGGAAGACAGGATAAATAGATAGATCCCAGAGGACCCCCAATATCTATCTATGCCTCTATCTAAAGGAATAAGGATAGATAGATCCTAGAGGACCCCCAATATCTATGTATCTGTCTGAAGGAATACAGGAGAGATAGATAGATAGATAGATAGATAGATAGATAGATAGATAGATAGATAGATAGATAGATCCCAGAGGTTTTCAATAGCTATGTATCTATGTGAAGGAATACAGTATAGACTGAAAGATCCTAGAGGGCCTCCAATATCTATCTATGCCTCTATCTGAAGGAATACAGGATAGATAGATAGATAGATAGATGATAGATAGATAGATTGATCCTAGAGGACCCCCAATATTTATGTATCTGAAGGAATACAAGATAAATCAAATAGATAGATAGACAGACAGACAGTCAGACAGATCCCAGAGGACCCCCAATATTCATCTATCTATCTATCTATCTATCTATCTATCTATCTATCTATCTATCTATCTGAAGGAAGACAGGATAGATAGATAGATGAATATTGGGGGTCCTCTGGGATCTATCTATCTATCTATCTATCTATCTATCTATCTGAAGGAAGACAGGATAGATAGATAAATGAATATTGGGGGTCCTCTGGGATCTATCTATCTATCTATCTATCTGAAGGAAGACAGGATAGATAGATAGACAGACAGACAGACAGACAGACAGACAGACAGACAGACAGACAGACAGATCCTAGAGGATCCCCAATATCTATCTATGCCTCTATCTGAAGGAATACAGGATAGATAGATAGATCCCAGAGGTTTTCAATAGCTATGTATCTATGTGAAGGAATACAGTATAGATAGATCCCAGAGGACCTCCCCTATCTATCTATCTATATCTCTCTCTCTCTCTCTCTCTCTCTCTCTCTCTCTCTCTCTCTCTCTCTGTGAAGGAATACAGTCTAGATATATAGATCCCACAGGAACCCCAGTATCTATCTATGTATCTATCTGAAGGAATACAGTATAGATAGAGAGATCCCAGAGGACCCCATCTGTACCTACCTACCTACCTACCTTCCTGTTTGGCAGCCAAGTTTTGGCCAAAGGACCCCTCCCTCCCCAAAGGGTACGTGACCCAGATGCCAGGGCCTGTCCTCCGAGCTGAATGCCGACCCTCTCTCCCCAACCAACCGTGGACTCACGGATGCAGAGCTGGGCGACGTAGGCGTAGTAGGACCAAGCCAGGATGCTGGCGATGAAGATGACGGGCACCCAGGAGACCAGCCACTGGCAGCGCCGCCTCACGCGTCCCGTCCGGCTCCGGCTCCGGCTCCGGCCTCGGCTTGGTGGTACCGCCGCGCCACTGCTGCTGCTGCTGCCGCCGCCTCCGCCGCTCGCGGATGTGGAAGCCGGCGCTGGGGCCGAGGGCTTGGCCGGCGCCGCCATCTTCCCGCGCTCGGCTCAGGCTCAGGCCCCTCGCTCAGGCCGCACATCCCCACCGCTGGGCCAGGCCCGCGCGCCTCCCCCTCCTCTCCTCCTCCTCCCCGCCGCTTCCTCCTCCTCCTCCTCCTCCTCAGCCGCCTCTCGGCTTCAGGGAAGGCGGGGGAAGGAGAAGGGGCCGCGGTCCCGCCCGGGGCTGCTTCCCGTTGGCGCCGCCAAGCTGCCAGAGCCACATTCTGAGGCGCTGAGAGAGCGAGCGAGCGAGCGAGCGAGGGAGGCGCGCAGGCGGGGCCCGCCCTCAGGAGTCGTTGCTCCGGGTGGAAACCCAACAGAGTCCCTCATGAAATCAAGGGAGGGTCCCTCCACTCCCCTCCCCCCAATAACAGCAGGACAGGATTGAGGGAGAGTCTGGCTACCCGCCAAGGTACCCCCCTCCCTAGTTCTCTGCCTCTCTTGGTGTTTGAGGCCCTTTCCACACAGCTGAATAAAATCCCATATTATCCGCTTTGAACTGGGATATAGGGCAGTGTGGACAGAGGGCCCTTCCACACAGCCCTATATCCCAGAAGATCAAGGCAGAAAATCCCACACTATCTGAGTGTGGACTCAGATAACATAGTTCAAAACACATATTGTGGTATTTTCTGCTTTCATATACTAGAATATAGAGCTATGTGGAAGGGCCCTTTTATAAATGGGTACAAAGTAGACTGGGACCTCTTCCACACAGTTAAATAACACCTCACATTTGGGGGCCCTTCCACACAGCTGAATACAATCCCACATAATATTCTTTGAACTGGAATATATGGCAGGCAGTGTGGACTCAAAGCAGATATTGTGAAATTTTCTGCCTTGATATTTTGGGATATAGGGCTGCGTGGAAAGGGCCAATGTTGCTTATCTGCTTTGATAATATGGATTATCTACCTTGATATTCTGGGTTATATGGCTATGTGGAAGGGCCCTAAAATAATCCAGTTCAAATCAAATAGTATTGATTTTCTGCTTTGATAACCTGGATTATCTGGCGGTGTAGAAGGGGCCCTACACTGCTGTATTAAATTCATATTATTTGAACTGGATTATATGGCATTGTAGACTCATAATCCTGTTCAAAGCAGATAATATGGATTATCTGTTTTGATAACTTGGAATATATTGCAGTGTAGAAGGGGCCTTTCCCTGCTTATTTTCCAAGATCCAAGGTACCTGGTGCCTTTGAATCAAAAGGAGTGTCTAGATACTTTAGGGGCATTTTTGTGATTATAACAAAGCCACTTCTGGCCTGGGGGCGGGGTTTCCACAAAATGTGGTAGAAATATACCCCACACTAATAGTGGACATTTTAGAGCATTTGGGGGCCTCAGGGTGACCTGTATACTATACAAGTGGCTATGTTGATCAGCAGGTTCAGTGTGATAAAGTGTGACCAATTGAGCTTGTTCATCATTATATTAAAACATCCAGAGCAAATTAAAAACAGTAAAGATTTATTACATAACTGTCTCCTTCCACACATTGCTGTGGCCCAGTCTGTGTATATGTGTTTTGTGTGGGTATATGTGTGTATATATTTTTGTGTATATGTGTATATATGTGTGTTTGCGTGTATATATGTGTGTATGGTATTTTTTATGTTTTGGCTTTTTAAGTCCATTCTGTTGTGTTTTTCAGTGTTTTCGTCACTGATGGTTACTTGTTGGCCTGATAGGTGTATTGTGTCCAAATTTGGTGTCAATTCGTCCAGTGGTTTTTGAGTTATGTTAATCCCACAAACGAACATTACATTTTATTTATATAGACTAGCTGTACTTCGTGTTGCTGTGACCCAGTCTGGTTAAATGGAAAAGAAAGAAAAGAGAAAGAGCTGGTTTTTAATGTATGTAATTTCATGCTTGGAGGTATGCAATATTTTTTGTTGTTCCATTGTCTGTGAAATAATAATAATAATAATAATAATAATAATAATAATAATAATAATGGTGTAAATAATACTGGCCTATATAATCTATATAACAACAATACTGTTGTATGTAATAATGACAATAATAACAATGATACTGGTCTATATGATAATGATCAGTATCCTTTCATTATTATATGGGATCCCGCCTATCTAGTTCTTCCTTCCTACCATTCAATCCTTCCTTCCTTCTGAGCCTCCTGTCTTCCTGGAGGCATGGGTGTGAGGTGGTGCCAGGCAAGGCTGGGTAGGGCATGAGGCTATGGGAGCCCGGAGATTGGGCTGGGCCTACCTCCTTCCCTCCCTCCCCTGGGCCCGTGCCCTGGCCGTCTCCCTGGCCTAGATTTCCCTACCTGCCCCACTGCCCCTTTCCCACTCTTCTTCTCCTGGTTCTGTTCCGGAAGGAAACAGGCAGGCAGGCTCGGTTGGGGGTGACCAGGCCGCGGATCTGTAATGGCGGCTCTGGCCCTGACAGGGTTGCTTCTCAATGTGTTGCTTGGACGTCCAGCAGATGGTACTGTTTTTGATGTCATGCATGTTTTTACCTATCACAGGTGTTACATCTATATAATAATAAGTATGTGAGTACATAAAAACATTCACCTCTTCAAATGCTACATTGTATCCAAATTTTGAAGCAACCGGTGAAGCATTTTGGGATACTTGAGGCCATTCACAAACAGACATTTATATTTTTATTTATATAGACAAATAAGCAACTAGCATTAGGCTGTTTCTACATACTACACAGCAACAGCTCATTTTCAACCTGAAAAACCCATCTCCCTGAACTCCTTCCACAATCTCAGCTCTGAAACCTCTTTTCAGATCTTATCACTTCTGCTTTTCCTAATAGCCTTAATTCTTTCTGATTGGTCTTAACACACTCTTTTACAGACAAGGCTCTCTAGGTTATATCCCAGAGGCCATTCTTTAGTGTACTCTGAAAACTATCATTGGTTGGTTATTCCTATTTTCACTCAGCTACTCATGTCAGATCTACATAACATCACTTCACCTGGTTAGTCCATTTTAGACTCTACAGATCCTTCCCCTTCTTGATATTTCAAGATGACATGCAGAGCAATCTTTTCCTCCATCTTTCCCTTCCTCAACCTGCTCTAAAAAAAAATCACAACGATCTTATTTAAGGTTTTATTGATTTTTAGTACCACGGCGATAATTTGTTAGCTCCAATTCTTACCTTATAAAACTCGCACACATTTTGTGACTTTTTGATTGACCAAATACATGTTTAGCATTCCTTATTCAAAATTCTTGGGCTCAGTTTTTTTTTCTGGATTTTGGAATGCCTGTATTCCATCTTGGAGATGGGACCCAGGTCTAAAAACAAAACACAATTATGCTTCTTATATGCTTCACGCAGATGGCATCAAGGTAATTTTATACAATATTTTAAATATTGCAATTGGCCTAAGAATTTAGGGAAGAGTAAGATTCCAGCCCCCTCATCTATTTCCCTTGCTGAGCTAACTTCAAACTCAGCTAACTGAGCAACTGGAACAAGTTAAAAACCAAAAGAGAGACTAGGAGGAGAAAGCAGGGCAATTTAAAAGCAGTTGCAGAAATGGGTTGAGTAATTAATTGGTACTTTCCCTTTCAAATTGGGATTGTTATAAGGTATGCACCCCAGTTTTTTAGATTCAGGCACCATTCTTTCTTCAACATCTAAAGGGCTTTATTGAACCAAAGAAAAAAGAGGGAAAAAAGTATATGCTCATGGTTTTATTTTGGTTTTTATTTTCCTTGTTTGTAAACTTAGAAGGAAAAAGAATGGCTTAATGGGCCAGTATTACATATCAGCTGATGGCAAGTGGGATCCAACTAGCCTTTATGATTATTTCCATTGAGTTACATTAAATGTTAGGAAATGTTTTCTTGTAACTTCAAAACATTTCCACACGTTTTATAATTTGATTCTCATTGCTGTAAAAATAAAAAAGAGCTGCTGACTGTAATAAATAAATTGCTGGATGTAGTTTTACACAAACTGCCATATACTCTTATATAAGCCCGCAGAATTATTGCTTATTTATTTCTCGTGTCAGGGCAGCCAGTCAATTATATTACATTTCTAACAGAACAAAGCAAACAAACAGAGAAAATACAAAATGTGTGAGTTTGGTAGTTGATTAAATGTCCTTTGACCAGTATCTGGCCACTTGGAGTGCTTCTGGTGTTGCTGCAAGAAGGTCCTCCATTGTGCATGTGGCTGGGCTCAGGCTGCATTGCAGCAGGTGGTCTGTGGTTTGCTCCTCTCTGCACTCGCATGTCGAGGATTATTGCTATTGATCCTAAAACACTTATTACTAATAATTAAGAAATCGTGAGTAGCTGAGATTTAAACAAACTGTTTTCCTACCATTTGTAAATGAGTGTAAGGTTGACTTGAATATTTTCTTTGCAAAGATCTGGTTCTGCTCCAGTCTACTTGGGCTATGAACTGTTTACGATTGGTTATGCACAACTCCTTGTGTGAGGAACAACAGCATGCCAGGGAGAAGACCGGACTAGAATCTTTATGTTGATTAAACCATTCTGATTTCTCAGGCTTGTTTAATCTGAAAATGCTATTGAACAACTCTGCTGAGTTCTAAAAAAAAGCAAGCTTTCAACAGTCAAAGAGAAATGTTGAGGGCCAGCATGCCTATGAACCATCAAGGACATTAAGCTCTTCCGGAGAGGCACTGCTCTCAGTCCCACCACCTTCGCAAGCGCGTTGGTGGGAACGAGAGACAGGGCCTTCTCTGTGGTGGCCCCTCGGCTATGGAACTCTCTCCCAAACAAGATTAGATCTGCCCCCTCCCTCTTGTCCTTCAGGAGGCTAGTGAAATCCTGGTTATGGAATGAAGCATTCCCAGAATAATGGCTGAGACTGATTACAGGCCAAAGTGAGTGACCACATATGCAGACTGAGTTGAACATAATTTTACCTTGGCAATTTGGTATATATGTATTTTATCTATATGTATTTTAATCTTGTATTGTTGTATGATGTTTTAACTTGTATTAGTAGCATTGAATCCTTGCTGTAAGCCGGTCTGAGTCCCTCTACGGAGGTGAGAAGATCGGGATATAAAAGTTTTAAATAAATAAATAAATAAATAAATAAAATTGGTCTAGGAATGTGGCAACAAGGGTTTAAATCCTTTTTCGGTATGGAAATCCACTGAGTGACTTCAGACACATTATACTCTCAGCTTCAGAAGAAAGTAATGATAAGTATTCTCAGGGGAACTTTCCAAGAAAACATCAGAACAGGTTTGTTTAATGGTTGTCATAATTA